ACGTCAGGCAACAGATGTACGATAGGGGCTCAGAGCACAACCTTTCACATTCCTTTGGTCCGGAGACCAGTCATATAGTTGCCGCATCGTTTTTTGGATCATACGTGCATGCGAGCTGTTTAGACAGCAACGTCAGACAACAGATGTACGAGAGGGGCTCGGGGCGCGACCTCTCGCATACCTTTTCGACCCGAAAGCCGGTCTTATAATTGCCCTGACCGAGCAGCTAAACCCCGGACATAGAAAATAGTTTGATTATTTCTTTGCCCGAGGGCCGAGCTGTGGTCGACTAAACACCGAGAGCGGGGCGTGGTATACATATACTCTCTTTTTTTTCTCTCCTTTTTTTTCTCTCCTTTTTTTGCTCTCCTCTTTTTTCTTTTGCACTCTTTTTTCTCTCTCTTTTTTTATGTGCTCCTTTTTTTAGCCGTTGCCCGTTTAATCCAAGTGAGGTCGGACCTCATCAAATTCAAGATTGAAAAAGGAAATATATACTTTTTTTTAAGTAATGAAAGAATTTGAGAACTTGAGGAGTTGCTCCAGTTATGCACTTGATCTACAATTTGTGATGATCGACTCATAGATTGTGAGAGAGCTGATCTGCAATCTACTCTTCATCAACGAGCTTGCAGTACTTCGCTCTTAGGATTAGAGAAGGTTCCCGGTGCTCCGCACTTAATCTCCAAGCTTGTATTGCTCCGCTCATAGAATCTAACAATTTGCCCTGCGCTCCGCACTTGATCTACAATCGCGTTGTGCCCCGTTCATAGAATTTGGCAAAAGTGCCCTACACTCCGCTTGATCTACAAACTTGCATTGCCCCGCTCATAGAATTTGATAAGGTGCCTTGCGCTACGCACTTGATGTACAAGCTTGTGATGTTCCGCTCAAAGGACTTGACAGGGTGTCCTGCATTGATCTTGATTCTCATACTTTGTAGCTTTGTTGTTGATGGTATGGACCCTGAGGTCCACCCGCTCGAGTTGCTTCAACGCCTTCGCGTAATGGCTTCGTGTAAAGGCTTCGCGTTGCAAGGTTTTATTTCAATGGTGCTTCCGGGTCTCCGAGTTACAGCTTCGTGTTGCAAGGTCTGTGCCCCTTGGCAACGGTGCTTCCTTCCTTCCCAGGACGAGTGCTGCCGGGAGGGCCTCCTTCCTGGCTCCGCCCTTGTGGAATGGCTTCACGTTGCAAGGTTTGTAACACCTTAGCAACAGTGCTTCCTTCCTTCCCGGGATGAGTGCTGCCAGGAGGGCCTCCTTTCTGGCTCCGCCCTTATGGAATGGCTTCGCGTTACAAGGTTTGTAACCCCATAGCAACGGTACTCCTAGACCTTCATGATCAGCTTCGCGTTGCAAGGTCTGTACCCCTTTAACAACGATGCTTCCAGGACTTCGAGTAACAGCTCCGCGTTGCAAGGTCTTTACCCCTTTAGCAACGATGCTTCCTTCCTTCCCGGGACGAGTGTTGCCGGGAGGGCCTCCTTCCTGGCTCCACCTTTGTGGAATGGTTTCGCGTTGCAAGGTTTGTAACCCCTTAGCAACGGTACTTCTGGACCTTCATGATCGGCCCGCAATTGCAAGGTCTATACCCCTTTAGCAATGATGCTTCCAGGACTTCGAGTAACAGCTTCGCGTTGCAAGGTCTGTACCCCTTTAGCAACGATGCTTCATTACTTCCCGGGACGAGTGTTGCCAGGAGGGCCTCCTTCCTGGCTGCCGCTGCATTGCAAGGTTTGTACCTTTTTAGCAATGATGTTTCCATGCCTTCGAGTAACAGCTCCGTGTTGCAAGGTCTGTACCCCTTTATCAACGATGCTTCATCATGGTACCAGTGCATGGTTCTGGGACGTGGAGGTCGGCCACATATGGCTCTCCCCCGACGACCTTTCTCCTTGGCTCATGTAGCCCTCGCCTCATATCTTTCACCACATCAGGAGCCAGTTCTGCTTGTGCGTGCCCAGCACGGAGCTGAACTTGCGAAGAAGACTTCGTAACCCTCTCGCGTACGTGAGGTCGAGATTTAGCATGGCGTCTGTCCGGGAAGGCTGCCCGCCTGTCCGGTCGACGGAAGTGATAAGACAAATCGTCCTTCCTTGCTACCATGGCTACCCAACTTGTCGGGACACTGATAGAGTATATATCTAGAGAGAAGTGAGAGCTAGAGAGAGAAGTGCAAGTAATGCTTCAATAGAATGATTTTGTAACCCCCATAACTACCTCCAGAGGAAGTATTTATAGGAAAAATACGGTCTGGGCTCCCAAGCCTTGGGCTTGGGAGGCCCATTTACAACTAGACCGCTATTGGGCCGAATACAGAGCCACTGGTGGGCTATATAAATGAATAAGTGTAAAATCCGGTTCTGTGAGACTTCCGTGGCCGACGAGGGTCTTGGCCGACGAGGGCACGGCCGATGAGGGCACAACCAATGAGGGCACGGCCGATGAGGGCACGGCCGATGAGGACACCCTGGTTCCCTGGCTTCAGGATCATATTCTGAGTTGGTCCTTCTTCGGCCGACGAGGGTCTTTGGCCGACGAGGGCACCGCGTAGTGGTTGTGCTTTCTGTTCTTCTGAGTATGTGGGTATTGGGGCCTAGACCCATATACTCCATCAGGAGTCCCCCACTCTCTAAGCTGAGATGTAGACGAAGTGAAGGAGAGTAGATTTCTGTGCTTGATGCTCTTGGCCGATGCGGGACCATGTTGGCCGTTCTCTGTCGCGGCGTTCGGTGGCCCTATTCTGAGTTTGGCCGTTGCCTGCCCCTTGATGCGGACAGGGAAAACTATTGTTCCTTTGGTGCGCTTTGTTTGTGGATGATGAGTGTTTTGGCACGAGTGGCCGATGACGGTAGTGTCTATCCTTGTTGATTGGTTGAGTTTCCCTTTTGGGCTGATGAGGCCGTAGGGGTTGCGTCTTTGTTTTGGGTGGCCGAGGAGGGCACTGTGCCTTCCTTTTGGCCGTTGTTGATGATGCCCTGTGTTTTTGGACGACAAGGCGTCATGTTACCCAAGGTTTTGGGGATGATAACACTGTCTCGCCGAAGATGAAGTTGTGAAGACCTTGGGGCCGTTGCGGTACGTGGACGACAGTGATTTAGGTATGTTAACCTTTCTCTTGACTCCTGGCTTGACAGTGACGTGTGGTTTCAAGGCCGATGAGTGTCCTGTGATCTCAGGCTTGCTGTGGCCGAAGGTGCACCATGATGTTATGGACGTTGTGGTGCATGTCTTGATATTGTAGTTGTGGACTTGGTGTATTTTTGGATTTCTTTGATTTCGCCTGTTATTCTTGAGGCCGGTGTAGTCCCCCAGTCCCCCACTGCTTTAGGCCGAAGAGTCAGTGAGGGGTGAAGGAGTAGTTCGAAACTTAGGCCGAAGTGGGATACTCATACTGCCCTTGAATCCAACCCTTTGGCGATTTCCTGACCAAGGTAACCCTGTGGGAGAACCCTTGGACGCAGGTCGCTTTCAAAGGGTTATCATCAAGGGTTTTAGTGCGAGGGCCTCATGGCCGTTATGTTCCTTTCCTTTGGGGTATTGTGGCCGTCTAGATGGCCGGTACGGGTGCTGTGGGGTGACCGTTGTCTGTTGTTGGTTGTTGCGTGCCCTGGCCGTTGTGAGTGTTATTCTCCCTTCCCCGTTCCGTAGAGCCTTCTTTGGTAGTGGGCTTTTGATATGTGGATTGGGCTTGGCCCATTAATGACGTGATGGCGTCCCGTTGGTGGCCGTTAGTGTGGCCACTGGGAGGGTGCCACGTGTAGTGACCGTTGGGTAGGGGGTTCTATAAATACCCCTCTCTGCCCGACGAGAGCTCTCATTTGCAATCTGAGCTATCGAAGTGCTGGCCAAATTTCTAGAGAGATAAACTTCAAAGCAAGTGTTCTTCGTGTTCTTCAAGGTTAGTGTCATCGAAATTTCTTTGTACTTTGTATATTTTGCTTCCTAGGCTAGTGATCTAGTGTTAGGCGTTTGAACACCCTTAGATCTCGAAGTTGGTTGTCGTGTACTCGAAATAGTGTTTTAAGATGAAAGACTTCAACGAAGAGTACTACCCCTACGACGACGAGCCCTCCACCAAGTCCCTTGACTATGAAGTGGTCGAGGAGTTCTGCGAAGAGCTTGAGAATCTGAGCTCGTTCAAGTCTGGGGAGCAGGATGATGAGGACGGTGAGGACGAGGAGTCTGCATCATCTTCTGGAGGTGGGGACGTAGGGGTCTCCCGAACTGCTGATGGGGCGTCCACGTCGGCTGCCATCCCATGCCCGAAGCCGGTATCTGCCGTCAAGGGTGTTGCACCGCCGAAGAGAGTGAGGAGGCCGAAGAGGGGACCAGCCTTCTCTTATTTGGATCTTACCAACGTCTTCATCATCAGGCCGCAGAGAAATGCGGGTGAGTACTTGGTCGCACAGATGTATGTGGGGCCGTTTGGTAGGGTTAGGGCCCCTAGGCCGACGGACCATGTCCTTAATCCACCCCTGGGCTACTTTGGAGTGTACCTGATGAGTTTTGCCAAAGGACTCAGGTTCCCGCTTCATCCCTTTATCATCGAGTACCTGGATATGGTGGGGCTCCCTCCGGCCTTGTTGACGCCGAACAACTATTCGCTTATCGTCGGCTTCCTTTTGCGGTGTGTTGAGTTGGATTTCAGGCCGACGACGGCGTTGTTCACGAACCTCTATCAGATAGGCCGTGGGAGTCATCAGAACTGTGCCTCGTATGCCACTCTCCAACAACTCCCCAAGAAAAGGAGTTTCACAGACCTGCCGACGTCCATCCATGGTTGGAAAGGGAAGTTTGTGTTCGTATCGTTGGGTGAAGGGGTGTAGAGTTTCCTTCCGTCAACCACAGTGGACGGTTTAATCTTCATGACACGCCGAGGAGCTCCATCCTGGATGCTCAGGTTGAGGCTTTCCTGAAGGGAGGTCCGAGGAGTGTGAAGACGTACATTACCGAGTACAAGATGGCCGCCCTCGGCTTCGTACGGTATTTTGTGTATGGTGACAACGACGACGATGTGGAGTTGTGGCCGAGGATGACCACATCTTACGAGGAGGCTGATGGTCCCGATCTGGGGGTGCCAGCTGAGGACGATGGTAATACCTTTCTGATGCACTCCTCCTCATCGTACTTTTGCATTTTCTGTTTGCTGACCCTTAGTATTTTTTCTGGTGCAGGGTTTCTCATGGATCGTATGTCCTTCATGAAGAGGGCACAACTTAAGGCGTCCGAGGAGCTGAAGGCCCAACAGCCTGGTGCTGCCCCTGCGGCCAAGCCCCCAGTGCAGCCAAAGAAGAAACGACAGGTCGATGAGGGCCAAAAGAAGTTGACTGAGGCGGGCTTAAAGCCTATTAAGAAGTCGAAGAGAGCTTCCCCTTCTGGTGATGCCGGGACGTCGGTTGTTCCCTCTGGGGACGGAGGGGGTTCCAATGTTGATGCTTTGGTGGACCACCCTTCGGGCCCTTCGTCCACCACCCTGTCCACCGTTCCTGCTGCCGTAGCAGCCACCCGAAAAAAAGGGTCCAGCCGAGAGCTGGTCAAAGGGACCTACAAGCTTGAGGTGGAATACCCTATCAAAGGGGGGCTGTTCAATGAGATCGTTGATGGCCATGAGGTGATCTGCCAGGCCATCCCTGACGAGGACCGGGCTTACCTGAAGAAGCTCGGCCATGTTAAGATGTACGATGGTGGGATGGACCACATCGTCCAAGTAAGTACTCACGTCCGCTTCGTCTGCGTTTCTGTTTTTTTGATATGCGTTGTTGTCATGTAACCCATATTTTACCGCAGGGCGCCTTCATGTTGATGGAAAGCAACAGGAGGCAGCAAAAGGAGATTGCTCGTTTGAAGCAATTCGAGCAAAGGGTTGCTTCGGCCGACGAAGCGCTGGGCAGCTTGGAGAGGCTGCGGCTTAAAGTCGAAGGCCTGAAGAAGAGGGCTGATGAGGCCGATCAGTTGGCTGCTGAGAAGGAAGGGGCCCTCCAGCGCTTGGCCGATATGGAGCGCGTCCGTGATGAGGCCCTTCGGCGTGCGAAGGAGGCCGAGAAGGGTAAGGCCAGTGCGGAGCTGGCCCTTAGTGCCGCCGAGGAGAGAGCTGCTGAGGCTGTTGTGCAGAAATTCCTCGAAGTCGGTTGGAAGGACGAGGATCGGCTCTCCCGGTGCTTCAAGGTCGTGGCGGCCAGGCTTGTCGACTGGGTGACCAAATCCCCTGACGGCCAGGCGTACTGGGAGAAGGAGATGAAAGTCTTCTACGACCTTGGCCAGTACCGGATGCAACGGCTGCTCTACAGGAGGCTTCAGCGGCGTTTCATAGATCTGGGTGTGGCCAAGGAGCGGGCCGTCGGCCTTGAGCTGCCTTCATTGATGAGGCATCCCGAAGCTGAGTTGGAGCTCCCGACGGCTGATCGGCAGCTCCCAATTGAGAGCTCTCAAGCTAGCGACGATTGGACCTACGAGCCGAGCATGTTTGAAGACACCGCTACGTCCGGTGTTGCTGCCGGTGCGGCCGCTGCCTCAGCCGAAGAGGGAGTCGGTGCCGAGAAGGACGCTGAAGCCCTGCCGGAGTCATGATCCACGTTGCTTTTGATTTGTGTAATGTTATGTAACGGTCGAGAAGCCCACTTTGTACTTTCCTGTTTTATGAATGAAAATACTTCTTCTCGTCTTTCATACTTCGATATTTTTGCCTTGGGTCTTTTCTTTTCCTGTTTGTACGACGTCCCAGTGTGAGTGTTTGCTTCGTCTTGTTGCCACAATATTTAGTGGATTTTTTGAAAATTTCCTAAGTATAAAATGTCAGTCAGCTTTAGAAAATCTTCTTGGTAGACAGCCGATACGGACACCTGGGCCGAGGAGGGGTTGCCACCCGTGTGTTTAACTTTCCCGCGGGTGTTTTAGTGCATGCTTCGTCCTGGGCCTCCTTTCCGGTGTTCCAACTTCAGGATTTGTGTTGAAGTGTCAAACTATGATTCTTTGTTTTTCATGCTAAGTGTTGGCACTTCAGGTGGTCATGGCCGATGAAGGTTACCACCCTCGTTTCACCCAACCACTTTGGTTAGGATTTTACGGGCGCATGCTCCGTCCTTGACACTTTCCTCGTAATGGGTGGCCGCTTCGTCCGTGTTACATGTTGGTGGTGTTACCTTTGTATTCAACTGATATGTACTTAGCTAAATGTGTGGCCGGTTTGCGGGGATTTATTTTTACTGCTTGAGGCCGGCTAGTGCGCACGGCCGTCGGCTTCCCTCCTTTTTTTGTTGTTCCCTATTTCGGGTAGTGTCTTTCTTTCAGGCTTCGGCCGAAGGGGTCGATGGCCCTTTGGCCGGTTTGGACTTCGTTTATAACGTCCATGATCTCAGGGGGGTCCTGTCGCCTATTTATGACGCGGTCTAGGCTTTTGGTTGGTTTCCAACGACTGCCGTTGCCCATCCCTGAGTTTTGGGATTTTGTCACCTCAGTCATGATTTCAGGCCTGTCTTCCTGCGATCAGGCGCGTGGACGACGCGGTGAACTTCCCGTTTCAAGACGCGGGCCGTTTGCGGGCCCATCGTCCTGGGGACGTCGTCGGCCCTGCCTGAACGTTTTGATCTAAGGGGCCTGTACGACGTGCTCTTTCAGCTGGGCCTAAACCTTTCGCTGATACAAAATACAACGGGGCATACCTGAGCTTTTCGCTCTAAGGTTGCGGATGCGAAGCGCCACATCGGCCATGCCTGAGCCTTTCGCTCTAAGGTGGCCGATGAGGGCGCTTGTTAATGTGCAAGTCGAACTCCAATAAATCAAAGGAAACATGATTTTTATTCAAAAGTGGCTCAAGGCCGAGGGTGGCGTTCAATCAATAACCCGTCAAAGGGTGAGGGCTTCGCCGGCTGCACCTCCTTCGGATTATTGATAAAACTTCACCAAATGGTGTACATTCCACGTTCGTGGTACATTGGTCCCGTTTGGGCGTTTAAGCTTGTAGGTGTCGGGCTTCACCACGGCACTGACGATGTAGGGACCTTCATACTTTAAGGCCAGCTTGCCTCCTTCCGTCGGCTGACTTGCTTCCCTTCGGCGGAGGACGTAGTCCCCCACTTGGAATTCTCGGGAACGTACCTTGGCATCATAGTATGATTTCACTTGACGCTGGTAGTTCTCTGCCCGCATGAATGCCTGTTCACGTCTTTCATCGACCAGGTGGAGGTCGATTTTCATGTTTTCCTCGTTGACCCCTGGGTCATACTGCTCCACCCGTCGGCTGGGAATGGTGACCTCCGTGGGTGCTTTTGCTTCAAAGCCATAGCACAAGGCAAAAGGTGTTTCACCCGTTGCCCTCCTTGGCGTAGTACGATAGCACCATAGGATGTTGGGGAGCTCGTCGGCCCAACTTCCTCCTGCGTCCTGTAGGTTCTTCTTTTGCCATCCATTATGGTTCTGTTGGCGTTCTCAACCTGCTCGTTGCCTTGAGGGTAGGCAACGTAGGAGAAACGATGCTTTATTCCCCATTCTCGAAGGAGCTCTTGGAAGGGTGCCGCTTCGAACTGGGTGCCGTTGTCGGATATGATCTCTTGGGGGACATCAAAGCGGGTGAGAATGTTCTTGTGGACGAACTTCTGACACCTAGTCCCCGTGATGCTGGCCAAAGGTTCCGCTTCGACCCACTTGGTGAAGTAGTCGACTGCGACGATGATGTAGCGGTTGTTGCCCGCAGCTCTGGGTAGAGGGCCGACCAGGTCAATCCCCCATCTCGAAAAAGGAATTGCAGTGCTGACGGGGGCGTAGTTGACGGCTGGCCGACCAGGGGCCTTTTGGAGCACCTGGCACGTGGTGCATTTCCTTGCTAGATCCGCACAATCCCTCGCCATCGTCGGCCAGAAATATCCCTGGACAACGAGACGCCGGGACATGCTGAAGGGGCCCTGGTGTGAGGAGCAAACACCGCAGTGAACTTCTTCCATGGCCACGTCGGCCTCGTCCTGGTGTAGGCATCGAAGGAGAGTACCATTGTAGGATCGTTTGTAGAGTTTGCCATCTTTAATGGTGTAGCTTGGGGCCCTGAGTTTGGCGAGCTTGGCCCTCTCCTCGTCCTGGGGTAGCTCCCCCGTCGTGATGAAGGTGGTGATGTCGGAGATCCAGTCCTCCGGTCGTTGTTGGATGCACAAGATGGGGCTGGCATGGATGGTGGACATGCTCAGCTCCTCGATCTTGGCTAACTGGGAGATGTGCTCCGGAGTGTCCGAGCTGAGTTTGGAGAGGAGGTCGGCCTCGGCGTTCTCGGCCCTTGGGATCTGTGTGATCTCGTGGGTTTCGAACGCCTTCAGCAACTCCTCTGCCGTTTGCTTGTATTGCTTCATCCGGCCTTCCTTTGCTTCGTACGTACCCTCAACCTGGCCCACTACCAGCTTGGAGTCGCACCTGATTTTGATGTGCCTGGCTCTGAGGCCGGCGGCGAGTCTGAGGCCGCTGAGGAGGGCCTCATACTCAGCTTCATTGTTGGATACCCTGAAGTTGAAGCGGATGGCATAGTAAGCTCTGAATCCTTCAGGGGATATGAGGACGACGCCGCCGCCGCATGACTTTGCGGCCGACGAGCCGTCGGTGAAGAGGATCCATGTGTCATCGGGCTCTGGGCCGGGGTGGTAGTGGTTGTTTCCCTTGCCGTGCATTCGGTGACGAAGTCGGACAAGGCTTGCCCTTTGATAGATGGCCTTGGCTTGATCTCAATCTGAAATTGGCTGAGGAAGATCGCCCATTTCACCATCCTTGAGGAGCTAGTGGGGCTCCTCATGAGTGCGCCAAGGGACTGCTGGGTCAGTACATGGACGCCATGGGCCTGGAAGTAGTGTCCCAGCTTGTTCACCGTATGGACGATGGCTAACACCGTCTTCTCAATGGGGGAGTACCCGAGCTCGGCCTCCCTTAGTGTCTTGCTGATGTAGAAAATGGCCTTCTGCACCCCTTCGTCCTCACGGATGAGCACGGAGCTGATGGCCGACGTGCTCACCCCTAAGTACAAGAAGAGGGTTTCACCGGCTTTGGGCTTGGAGAGCACGGGTGGGGACGAAAGGTACCTCTTCAGCTCTTCGAACGCTTCCTGGCACTCCGTCGTCCATTTGAAGCTGTTAGCTTTGCGCATGATCTGGAAGAAAGGGAGTGACCTCTCGGCTGACCTGGAGAGGAAACGGCTCAGGGCCGCCAGTCGCCCTGTCAGCCGTTGCACCTCTTTGACGTTGCGGGGCGGCTCCATGTCGATGATGGCATGTATCTTCTCCAGATTTATTTTGATGCCTCTCCGGCTGACCATGTAGCCGAGGAACTTGCCGCCTTGGACGCCAAAGGCGCACTTCTTGGGGTTGAGGCGGAGCTTGAACTCCTTCATGATTTCAAAAATTTCCCGGAGGTCGTCAGCATGTGTGGTGGCTTGCCTGCTTTTGACAATCATGTCGTCGACGTATGCCTCCATCGTCCGGCCGAGGACTGCTCTGATGATCTTGGCCACCATCCTGGTATAGGTGGCGCCGGAGTTTTTGAGTCCGAAAGCCATGACGAGGTAGCAAAAAATTCCCTCCGGGGTCATGAATGCCGTCTTCTCAGCGTCATCTTCATGCATGAAAATTTGGTGGTACCCTCTGAAAGCATCAAGGAACGACATCAACTCGCATCCCGCCGTCTCGTCCACCAACTGATCAATGTTGGGGAGAGGGAACGGGTCCATGGGGCACGCCTTGTTCAGTTCAGTGTAATCAACACACATTCTGAATATCGGCGGTTTTTAGGCGAGGACGACGTTGGCTAGCCACGTCGGGTACTTCACCTCTTTGATGTGGTTGATTGAGAGGAGCATGGCAACCTCCCCTTTGACGAAGTCCCGCCTGTCAGCGGATAAGTAGCGCCGCTTCTGCTTGATAGGCGCGGAGACTGGATCGACGGTCAGCCGGTGGGTGATCACCTGCCGGCTGATGCCTGGCATGTCAGCCGGGCCCCACACGAAGATAACGGCGTATGACCGTAGGACGAGGAGGATGGCGTCCCGCTGGTCCTGTGGGAGTTGCTTCCCGATTTTGAGGACCCGCTCCGGCCGGGAGGTATTCAGGGGGACTTCCTCGACCTCCTTGGCCGGTTCAGCATGCGGCCTCTCTTCGTCCTTGGCAACGGCTGCCGTGATGGTGTCTATCATCTGTCCTTTCCTTTCGGCCAGCCTCGTTAGCTTGAGGTAGCATGCTCTGGCTATCCTCTGGTTTCCTCTGGCGCAGCCAATGGCGTCATTGGTGGGGAACTTCAGACACAAGTGCTTCATGGAGATGATGGTCTCCAAGTCTTCCAGTGCTGGCCGCCCCAAGATCAAGTTGTGGGCGCACTGGAGGTTGACCACCATGAACTCTATGTCAATTTTGGCGCGGTGGGGGCCGTCGCCGACCTCCACGGGGAGGACTATCGTGCCCTCGGCGTCGATAGAGTCCCCGGTGAAGCCGGACAACGGTGTCTTGATCAGCTTCAGCAGAGCTTTGTCCAGCTTCAGCTGTCTGAAGGTGTCCAGGTACATCACGTTGACGGAGCTCCCCGTATCGATGTAAGTGCGGTGGATGATGGAGTCACCGATCTCACACCGGATGACGAGGGCATCCCTATGTGATTCCGTACCCGGAGGCAGATCTTTGTCGGTGAAGGTGATCGCCTCCGTTCGCTGCTTCTTCGGCTGGGGGGAACGTGGGACACCTCCCCAATGTAAAGGGATTGGGCCCATTTCTTCCTCTGGGTGACG